GGCCCCCCCCCCCCCCCCCCGGCACCCCTATCAATTGCTAAGACGGTGCCCCTCTGTAATGGCTAAGTTCGCAGCCGCCCCTACCAATTGCTATGTTGCCATCCCCCCTCAATGTCCCTTGCAATTGCTTAGTCCAGCCCCCCACCCCACAGTCAGTTGTTATGCTAGGTAGGCGCCTCTACAATTTGTTACGTGACCCCCCCTGGAATTGCTAATCTGGCACCCCCTGCCCCCACTCCTGGCGCCCACCTTCAATTGCTAGGTCGGCGCCCCATGCTCCCCCCTCTCCATCAGTTGTCGATGCCCCCAACCCGCCAGACGAAAATGTGCAAACTCAATATGTGAACTCAATGTGAACGTGCTGATGTGAACTACTGGCACAGGAAACAAAAGCTGAGAATAAACATCCATCAGTCGATGTCGGCGACAAGGACAAAGTGCATAGGTAACTGCCGATCGATGAGCTGAGCACTGTGTGAAATGTTTATGTGGACCCTCACAATTTTTGCTACCATCCAAATGAGCTAGTTCAGTACAAATGTACTAGCCTAGATAATTTTTCCTAGCCCTCAATGGACACTTCAGGACATAAAGACCAAACAAAAATCATCACGTTTTACAATAATACATTCATTCATTCATTCATTTTCCACCCCTTATTCAGGGCTGGGTTGCGGGCGCAGCAGTCTAAGCAGGGATGCCGAGACCTCCCTCTCCCCTCCCTATTCCTAGTAACCACTAAATCTTTTAAATGTAGGTCTATTTACTAATATTAATAGCCTTTACACCGTCATGCAATGTATAATTTCCGCGCAAGGAAAAAGAACAATGAATCTTTCAGTTGAACGATCTCCAAAGAATCAACTCGATTACATAGGCTACGTACAAATTTTACGTTCCGGTTTTACTTTCACCACCAGATGTCACTGCGGTTCAATAGATACGACGGTTTTCAAGCAAGTTGACAGTTTCCTGTACCGACAGGAGTGCCGTCGACATCGTCCCTCTAACTCGAACATAGAAATGTGACATAAATGTGGTTGTAGGCAATCTAAAATTATTAAGAATGGAGTACTGACTTATCTTTTATATTGTCCACCTAGGCGGATCGGAAAATGACGTAGGTGAGTATGGGGTGACATAGGCAGGCAGGGAGATTGCAGGTGGGGGGTGACCTAGGCGAGCAGACAGATGACCTAGGCAGGCAGGTAAATGACATAGGCGCCAGGCACACGGGCTAGGCGGGCCAGGCGGTGACATGGCTGTAGTGGAGCCTGTAGAAATTTTTATCTGATTTTAAATTAGCCCTGAACCCTTGCTCCCCTAAACATACATGCTTCTCTTACAATATTGTTAGGCACCTAATATTCATACTCGTATGTATGTCCTTAACATGTTGCCAAATACAGAGGGAAAATGGGAAAATACAAAGAGTTCTGGAAGACAAGAAATAAAAAGTAAATCTCAAAAGTAAAATAATCTGTTATAGTTCAATGTTAGTTTAACTGCCAGGAACATGGTCATAGCAGGATATCTTACACAATGATGGCGCTGGTGGTTCGAGAGCCAAAGCACAATTGCTGCTTTAACTAAAATTTTATCTAGTGGGTTTATATAGTGAGTTAATCATTTGAGTCCTTCCAAGAAAGGAAACCATGTACACAGTTATAGTGACCAATCACTTGTACGGATCAACAATCTGGGAACAGAATCATTTCTGTACAAGTACTGTTTAAATAGTTTGCTTATAGTAATCAAGTAGTCCACTTACAGTGTTCATTTTGGGTCCTTTTGTACATGACAACATACACAAAGAATTAAAACTACGCTAATCCCTTTTTT